CCCCGCCCCGCCCCGCCCCGCCGCGTGTGCTCGTATGATGTGATGTTTGACTGATCGATGCTGTCTGAGTGATATCCCATCGCCTCGTGTTGGCTTGCTGTAGCCGCGCCCAACACTGTGCGAGAGAGAGGGGGAGAGAGAGAGGGGGAGGGGTGGTGGTGGTAAAAGTCGGGGTAAGAAGGACGCGGAGGAATGCCCCGCGGAGGAAGAGCGGCAGCGGCATAACGCATCCGAAAGCATAAAGGCGCGCTGAGGAGCACTGACCAACGGAAACCCAAAGGACGAGCGGGTCGAGCTGGATCACTTCAGCGCCTTCCACTTTCTGCTGCAGCCGGAGCGCCCATAATCACTGCTTGCCCAGCGGAGAGGCGGCGGCGGCGGCAGCGTCCTCCAATCCGGTAATGCAGCCGCGAAGCAGCGCCGGCAGCAGACTGACCGGGCCGGCCCGGCCCTGGGCAGCGGCAGCAAGGCAGAGAACGGCTGCAAAAACCACGGGCGTACGTTGCCTCTTGCGGGGCCCTATGGCGCCTCGCCATACCGCCGCCGGCAGCCAGACCTCGGGGTGTTGAGGTTGAAGGGGAGCACAAAGGCGCCATCAGGATAAAACTTCGACAAACAAAATAAAAAGACACGGCAATCTGTTGCAATCATTTGCAATGAGTATTTTTCTCCTGTGAGGTATTTCTATAATATAGCCGCCTTTGGCGGCTAGTGTATGTGGTGTGCAGTGGGTCTGAATCGCTGCTAAGCTAGGGGCTTAACGGACCCTCCCGCCACGCCCAGTCGCTGGGTCAGAGGTCGCGGCCCGCGCCAGGTGGGGCCTATGGGCGGCCGTACCCGACTCGTCCTCCTGCAGGAGGAAGCTGCAGGAGCAGGAAGCGTCCACGAGGGAGAGGCTGCTGCTTTTGAGACATGGCGCTGCGGTGCTCCCACCAGGCCCAATGCTACTTACCCAGTGTTTCGGACACGCGCTATGTCGGCCGGGTTTGCCTACCCATTCTGCCCGTAAGGCGCCATGGCCCCCTGTGAATAGGCAAACTCGCTCGTCCCGGCGCGTGCTCCGAAACACTTTAGGGCACACAGAGGAGGGTGCGAAGGGACAAGTAGTAGTCTCCATCGCACCCAGTATGTACTCGAGCCCAACACACCACCACTCCCACCGGACCTCACTCGCCGTCTCTCCCTCTCCCTCTCCCTCTCCCTCTCTCTCACCCTCTCTCTCCCTCTCTCTCTTTCCCTCTCTCTCCCTCTCTCTCGCCGCGGGAAGTCGTCCTAATTAGGCGACCCGCCGCGCGCGCGCTTGTTAGGCCCCGCGGCTGGCTCATCTGCCCGGAGCCCCGCCCCGCCCCGTCCCCGCCTCGCCTCGCCCACTGTCCGGTAAATCATTTGGAACACCGTATCGCTTATGAGCGGGCAGCTCGCACTTTCCGAGGTAGGGAATCAATCGGGCTGCTGCGGTTCCCTCGTATAATTGGCCTCCCCGCGGGGAGCGCGGGCGCACAGCCGCAGCGGGCACAGGGAGTTTCAGGCATTTCCGAAATTTTCTGGAATTAAAGGGTGGTGTGAGTGTGTGCGGTGATGATGAGGTAGTAGTACGTTATAGGTATGTACGTATTGGGGGCGTCGCTCCATCTGCCCCCTGCTTTCTTCGTTTTGGTGAAATGAGAAACAAACGAACGAGCAAACGAACGGAAAATTATCGTCAGAAACGAGATTTGATTTTCTTTTCCTATACCCGGAGCCATATCTCCCGGCAGCCAGTTCAAGAAGGCGGACCTGGAAAAATAAAAAAGAAGAAGAAAGAATCAAATAAACCCACTCGCGGTGGTCTGCTTGCCGGGACCACCGACCGATGACCGAAAATACCCGCACACGCACTCTCCCGGCTCTCGGCCCAGTATCGACACAAAACGGCGCGTAGATCCGATGGGATCCGATACGCATCTTAATTAGCTTTGTAAACACCCCCCCCCCCCCCCCATCTTTTCCATTTCTCTCTCTTTCTCTCTCACACACGCTCACTATTCTTCTCTCTCTCCCGTTCCCTCTCGATAGATGAGTCAGACAAATAGGGAACCTGTTGGGATGACGCGTTGAATAGCTCCGGCTGGGGGGTATGCGCGGGTGAGGCTAAACGGAGAGGCCTAAAAACACTACTTCAGCCACTCCTCCCCGGCCCCTTCTAGTACCTGCCCACTCACTGCCCGTCGGCGGGCTGCTGGAGTGGTTGCTGTTTGGGCCCTTGCTTCTCTCTGTCGGCGAAGCACAGCCGCCGAGTTGTGACCACAGAGGAAGAGACCGGGCTGCTTTGCATGCGCGGCACACCGCCGCCGGTGTCGCGCGCCCCAGCGCAAGCCGCGCAGGCGTGTAGGATGGGTTGCCTACCCTCCGCACGGCAGGCGCTCGGATGGTGTCCGGTCGCATGAAACACTGATAGAAACACGTCATGGTGTTCTCCTGAACTGTGCAAAATGATAGCGGTGGTGCTTTCACCAAGGTGTGGTGTGGTGGTGGTGGTG